CACATGTGGTAACCAACCTCCCAAGATGGCCCAGTTGTATCCTGCCTCCTGATATTCAAACCCTGTTGCTCTCCCATATGCTACAGCAGGGTTGGTGTGTGTCACTACTCCCAGGCAAGCAGGAGTGACAGTATGGAACTAAACATGACAGCGTCAGCTCCATCTTGGGTATGGACTCTCATAGATCACTCACTTGGGGGAAAGCAGCTGTCACAACATGAACCGTCTCAGAGAGAGGCCCCACAGTGAGGAACTGGAACCTCTTGCCAACAAGTGGGTTAGCTGGCAAGCAGATCGCCACACGCTAAGACTTCTGCAGATACTGCAGACCCAGCCAAAATCTTGACGGCAACCTCTTGAGAAGCCCTAAGTGTACCACCCAGTCAAGCCACCCCCTAATTTCTGACATTCGGAAACGATGTGAGGCTAAACACTTGGAGATAATTTGTTACTCAGCACACACAAAGAACTAATACAACGGGATCTCACTAAACTGTATGCTCAAATGTGCTGGGCACAAAACATACTTATAAACTCCCAATTAGGGAAGAAATTCAGATGGCCTATCTTTCACAAATTCTTCATGAATGATTACCGCTAAGGGAAGGATATATAAGTAAACAAATTAATGCAGGATACTGTGCTAAAACACACACACGTACCCTGAATGAAATCTTGGGGTATAAACTATATGCGTCAGCCCATCTCGGCCCAATGGCACTGTAAAAGGAGTCACTCATTGTGTCATATATATGGGGGTCTTAAAAAGTGGTTGCCACCAAGTCAATTCCAATTCATGGCAAACCTATGGGTGGAGAGCACTTTGTTCCACCACAGACTTACAAGGTTGTGACCTTCGGAAAGCACGTGATCGGGTCTTTCTTCCTCGGCCAACTGTGAGTGAGTCCACACAGGCAACCTCTGGATTAGTGGTCAAGCACTTAACCATGTGGACCACCCAGGCTTCCCGTGTGGTCATAGTCGGTCTCTTTTCCCTCTCAAGAAAACGGGTGAAAGAAAACAAAAATCACTTTTTGTTCTAACAAGAAGAACCCTCACAATGCAGGTTAAGCATTTCCCCGACAGCTACAGAGTTGAAGGTTCACACTCACCAGCCTATCCGAGGGAGAAAGATGTGGCAGTCTGCTAAGATTACAGCCTCAGGCACCCCTTGGTGCTGTTAACTCTGTCCTATTTGGTCATTATGAGTCAGAACTCACTCGGCAGCAATCAGTTTGGGTTCTGATGTTCTCGTGAAAGAGTGAAAAAGCTTAAGAATAAAAAGAATGTAACTGTGGTCTTTATTCTAAAGAACCCCACCCCCTCTCATCTTACCTCAGGTGTGCAGTGAAATGTTGAAGAACCTGAGATATTCCAGGCAGAAGATGGTCATATCCTTGAGATAACCAGAGAGATAGATAGTTACTCACATATTCCAAGGATGTCTTATATTCCACTGCTTATCTGACACTTAAGGAGCCCAGGGGGCATACGTATAAAGCGCCCAGCTTCCAACAGAAAGGAGCAGTTCAAACCTACCCTGCCCTTGGGAGAAAGATCTGCTTCTATACAGACTCCACTGCCACTGAGTTGATTCCAAGTTGTATCAACTATAAAGGGGGGAGTAGAACTGTTCCCTAGGCGTTGCAGGACAGACAGCCTCAACTTCCTCCCAGAGCAACTGAGGGGAATCACATTGCTGATTTTGTGGTTAGCAGCCAGATTCTTAATTCATGGTGGCACCAGGACTCCTCCATGAAGCTATCCTATGAGGACAGCTCGCTGTCACATGGGCTCATCATGAGTCAAATTCAACTTGCAGGCAACTAACAACGCTTAAATGTTGAACTGCTAATTAAAAAGCCAATAGTTCAAATCCACCAGCCACGCTGAGGGAGAAAGCTGAGGCTGTC